CCTCCCCCCCCGCTCGGGCCGGCGCTGGGGGCTGCCGGCCGGCGGCTGCGGGTGCCAGCACGGCTCCGCTGCTCAGGGAGGCAGGGAAAGTAACAGGCGAGCTTGGGTTTGTCTGGAAGATGAGGGAGAGTTTGAAATCTTAGCCTTACTATACCCTCCTTAATTGTTACTCTGGTGAGGACAGGGGAGCTTGAACTCTTCCCCCCGTATCGCTGAACGCGTTTTTGAGAGGATCCTTCACGCTGTGCTCAAGGCCCTGCATCATCTCCTGCTGAAAGGGCCCTTTACATCATCTTCAGCAGAAGAGCAACGTTTCAAAACTGCCATAATGACAGTAGCCTGTTGAGCTTGGTTTCTAGGAAATTAATTGGGTCCCCGTGAACAAACCTTTAGCTTTTTCTAAACTCAGCTTATTTGCTTCCAATTGTATTTTTGTCGAATACATGGAATGCAAGACAGGAAATAAAACGTCATACCTCTTTGCTAGTTGGCTGTAGTTGGATATCCAGTCACGTGGAGTAAGTCAACCTGTACCTGGCTTGGGCTCTGAAACACACCTTGCCTTCCCTAGCTCCTGCCCCCCTGCTGCAGCCTGGTGGGACTGCAGGTGGCTCAGTGGCATCCTGGAAGTTCCTGGGGCGTTTATTCCTTGAGGGAAGAACAGAACTGAACCACTGACCGCACAGAAACTGACGGTGCTAATTGCTTGTGTTTTGAGGGAAGACGAAGAGATGTTTATTGTTCCCAGTGGATGGACAACCTGTCAAGAGTAATGGGGCAGGAAGTGCAGGGCAGAACCACAAGCCTCACTGCAGCTTTTGGAGCTGGGGCTGATTCATGCAGTTCATTTGATTGTTCTCTGGAAGCAAACCCGAGTACCTAGGAACACCAGGTGTAACAGCAAGAGCAAGAAAGGACACCCTTGCATTTGTGCTAAAATATGTAGTAGTTATTCTCAGTTGTCTAATATAAGCAACAGTTTAAATTGTGTTGATATGGGGGAAATATAAACACTTGTTCCAGTGTCTTTGAAGATTATTTTGCTATTTTGAATTCCGAAATACCAGCCCTTGGCTTCTACAGCAGCTTAGCCAAATACTCTGTGAAGTATTTCACCACGATGATGTGTGAGGCTGTGACTCAGTTTGACGTTTCTAAGCAGCGTAACATCTTCTGACTTTTTGTTTTGCCAGGTCTCAGCTTTAATAGGTTACAACTCAAATAGATGATCTGCCATCTTCCCTTGAGAAGGAGGCTGGGGCCAAGCAGAGGTAGATTTTCTGGTCCCTTTCTTTGAGCTGCTGGGCATGCTGGAAGCATTTGCCCACATCCAGTTCCCCCTTGCAGGGAGCTGTGCCACAGGAGCTTGCAAAGAGGAGTGGCAGTGGGGCGTCAGAATGCAATGTATATTTGCACAGCAGGCATCAAGTAAGATGCCCTGAAAAAAGCGAGTCCAGTTTGATCTTGTGTCTGAAAGGTTTGCAAGTGGAAAACTAAAATTTGTCTCTGATCAACGCCAACAATTATCCTCCATTTTTCTTCATTAGCTCAGGTAGATGGTGTTCTAGGTTACCCCTCTCAGCCCCCAAGCACTCACCCAGACCTGTCTGTCCTTGCTTCCTCCCTGGGCCTGGTAAGTGCCTGTCCTGTGACTCACACTGCAGTAAGCTGAACTATCAGCTTAACTTGGCTGCTAAACTAGAGGGAAGAAGACACCACTTACAGAATGAAAGAAAAGCTTTCACAACACTGAAAGTCGCACTAGCATTTTAGACTAAAAGCCCAAATGATGTAGTATTAGCTTTTTAAATCCTGCCAGTATAGGCAGAGGAGGTTGTAGAGCTGACTTAAAAGCACATCAGAGCATGGCTTTTCACAACTACAGTGCAATAATTATATTTCTTGTTGCAGAATCTGTGTTATCACCTTGGCAGAAGCCCATCCTCTTCTTCAAAATGGAAAAACAATTACAAGCATTAATTACCAAATAAGCGCCAACTGCAGCAGACTCCAGAATAAGGTCTCTGGGAAGTCAAAAAGGGTATGGCTTTTTCATTTGGTTAGTTTTCATCTCTCATACTGCCTGAGATTTTCTGTCCTTTCTACGATAGAAACATGCAAAGTTACCTTTACATTTTATTTTAAAAGAGCCCTTCCAGAGTTAGAAGAATTGATGTTCTCTAGAGGCACCAACTGTTCCAGCTGGGGTATTACAGTTCTCCTGCAGCACGGGTGGTTTCCAGTGTTGCTCAAACCAATGCTAATGGTTGCTTTTAGTAATTTTTTCATAATATAAGAAAATACAGAGAGACTTAAATATGCCTTCATAGATAAAAACTTGTTTCCGTCAAAATACCAAGGAGTGGGAGACTGTTGTTTTTGTCAAACAGACCTGGGCAGCAGATGGGCTGGTTCAGTGTGTTTCATGGTAGATTATCAAATACCAGTAGCTTAACCTGGTTATACTGAAGTCAACAGTGCTGTTTTTCTCCTCTCTTGGCTATTTTTAATCTGATTAAACCACAGATCTATTATTCCACAAGAAACTTAATTATGATTAAATTTTTAAGGTGTTAACAAGCTTCTAACCCACTTGTGCATGTAACTGAGTTGTGATACTCCCTTTTGTAGGGAAGCACAACTTTGCCACTTGCAGTGATGTGTTACTGTCACACTTCCTTGCTTTGTTCTGAAGCTTTAAAACTCACCGTGTTGCTGATGGCAATACTTTTAAAAGCCCTGTGCAATTAAAAGTGTGTATCCATATGTGTGTATTTTTTTTGTTTTGTTTTGTTTTCCAAATGCAGGGAGCTCAATTTTTAACAGAACTTGCTCCCCTGTGCAGGATCTCTTCATCAGATGGAGAAGAATACACCATTTACAGGTAAGGTTTTTTCCCTTTTTCTTCTTACCTTGACATAATTGTGCACTTTTACTGAAACTTAACACTTTCGCAGTTGTATACGAGGACGACTGATAGAAGTGAATGAAAACATTCTTAGCAATCCAGCTATTCTGCAAGAAAAGGTAAGAAACTTTCTTGCTTTTTATTTTCCAACTTTTATTTCACTATTAACTTCAGTCTTGCTTTTTAGCCATCAACCGAGGGATACATTGCAGTGGTTCTACCCAAATTTGAAGAAAGCAAGAGTGTAACTCAAGGACTTCTAACAAAGAAGGAGTATGAGGAAGTTTTGTTGAAACGTCTTAATTCTTCTGAATGAATTAATTATACAGCCATAACCTGTATTTTATACTAAATAAGCTACTTTTATTGTACATTGTAACTGTCATGGTATTGAAAAGGCTTAGTGCCTGTTTTTGAAAGCGGAACTTAAACACTTGATTTATACAACCAATAAAACAGTTCAAATAGTTTGTATATTAAAATTTGCTTTCTCTTTTTCTCTGAATTGTAGCACTACAAATTTTTAAATAAGCACAGAATGCTATGTTGGAAAAGTATTTATGTTCCACAGGCAGCTTTGCTTCTGCACAGTGCAAGCATAACACATGCAGAAAAATAATACAATTTAGCTATCACTTAATTTAGCTAAACCAATACAATATGGGGTTTGACAAAGGTGAATTGAAAATAAAAATGCAACAGAAGCCAATATAGAAAAAGCAGATAAACTTGAAAATACCTATTTCACACCAGGTTATATTTTCATGGCATCCTGAAGTAAAATAATGCTTTTTGTACAGAAGTTTGTCATAATCAGTATCTACTTTCTTGATTTTTAATTGGTATAATATAAAGTCTATATAATATTTCAGAGGTTTTACATGCAATTCAAATGCTCAGTAAATTATAATAAAAAAGAGAGCAGTAGCTGACATTACAAATAAAATGGTAAAAGAAAAATGGGTTAAAGTCAAGAGTATTAATCACTTTGAAATACACTTTCGGAAGTATGAATCATGTCAACAAGATTAAAATTCAGTGGTGCAGCTACTGAAATAAGAGTTTTTTTCCTAGACTACTTTATTGCAGGTACAATGCATAACTAAGATGATATTTCAGTGCTTTAGGCCACAGCCTTTCAGAGTATATTCCTGATTCTGCTTTATCTAATACATAGACTGCAACAGGCCAGAGATGAGTTTACAGACTTCAACAGTAGTGTTACCATGTGCAGCAAAAGGTTATTCTATATAAAATGTCTATTAGCAGCATCTTTGGGTTGAAACATCCATTAAGACATTCATAAGCATTAATTACAAAACCAGTATCAACAGTGGGCATAGGAAAGGCATTCACATTATAAAAATACAAAATTATTAAGACTAGTTGGTGTTGCAATTGCTAAGTAATGGGACTTCTATTAGATGTGAGAAAGGTCAGCAGTTTTAATCAAAATCAACCTGGTTGGACTTTCCACAAATTAAAACAATATGAAAAATTAAGTGAGTGTTATTTTCTGCATTTCTAAGTGCTATAATTACTTGGTCTCCAAAAATGTCATGTTTGCGACATGATTTTCTAAAGACTTGATGCCAAATGTGTCAGCTCTCCTCTCTGAAGTATGTGTATTAGTAGTACCAGTTCGAATTCTGTCTTCTCTCCATGGCGGAGCAGGTTTAAGACAGCCATTTCCTGCTTTATTCTGTAGATAGATATATATATAAAAGATTTCTTAAAAACAAACAAAATAAACCTCCTCAACCCAACCAACCAACACCCCTCTCCCTGCAGAGGAGACTGCAGAGGAACAAAGTACTTGCCTTTCTCAATAATTTGCAGCAAAGTGGAAGAAGTTGGCATAAAAGAGTCATCACGTTTCTTGTTTTCAGAATGCATGCGTCAACCTAAACAAGGCAAGTACATTAGAGTAAGACCACTGATAACCTTTATTAGGCAATTATTTAATGCATGAGATGATAATTTGTTTCAAGCTTGAATAGGTAATACTTTTCCTTTATAAATGCCTTCTAATCAAAAGATTTTGCCTAGCTTTTAAAAATTCCTCTATACAGTACATCAGAGCAACAGCATCCCTTCTGTTAACCCAAAACTTGATCGAGGAAGTAGAAGACACACATCCCAGGAGAACCAACTCATAATAATATCATATTAAACAGTAATCTAAGTTTCCTGGAAAGGAGCTCTTATCTTCCAAGTATGAATGATGACAATTCTTGTTGTGTTTCCTTTTATGTCCTGTCAGCCTGATTTACAAAGCCATGCATCATGTAAGCTTTACCTAAATCTTAAAAGTTTTCCAGCTTATGCCTCAAGTCTAACTCAGCACAGGTCATTTATCTAGGCCCTCAAGAAACATTTGATAGCCTGCTGTCACTATGTATACATCACTCTGTATAAACAGACTGGAGTTTGCATTTAATTTAGCTGGACAGTGTAAAACAAACCAAGCAGCTTAGCAGGGAAACATCTCTGTAAACTCTCCACTAACAGTGAAATCTAAAACCAGAAAGATAACTTCAGTATTTTTAGTAATACGAAGGAAAAGACTCCCAACAGTTATTTTACTGATTCTTAAAAGTTGACAAGCTAGGGGTAGGGAAACTTCCTTCAAACATGAAAATCAATGATACGTGTGTGGCCACTGGGCCAGTTACACAAAACTCTTGATATCTGTGCTCCCTAAAGAAAACATGAATGTAAACCTGTAGGGTAATACTATCCAAGCTATCCACTGGCAGGCTTCCATGGATGCTGGGTGCCAGCATAACATATTTTGCCTCCTATCAAACTCTCAGCATGAATGAGGATGTCAGGTCAGGCTAAACTTCTCTGCCCTTCTCTGGTAGTGCAGCAGAGGAATAAATAATTTAAAAAAAAAAAGGCTAGAAAAACAGTAGTACCCATGCTGAAGGAAATGCCCCCCCTCAAATGGCTTGGCTTATAGTTATCAGTGATGGATGTCCCAATAGAAAACACATTTTCAGCAAGAGGAACAGTCTTCCTGTTCTTCCTCTGTACCTCACAAATCTCAAAACATGGGAAGTGCACAAGTACTTCAAGTTGAGGTAAATTCCACTTCTATATAAGGAACAGCAACGATGATACTGCACCACAGAAAAACGCTTGCACAGCACCATAAAACTTTGTACTTACTTTTTTTTTTTTATGTTCCCCTGTCAATCCAAGAAGTTCAGCTGTCATTAACTGTTACATACTTTCACAGGAGCACAAATTAGCAAGCTAGGTCTTACTTTCAGGAATATGTATCATTTTTACATTACCTTTGTAAATGTAGCACTTTTACCCTGAACAGATGCTTTCGCTGTGATCTGGAGCTGCTTGCACATCGAGATCAGTTTTTCAGCCTCCAACAGAAGTAAAGGTTTGTCATCACTGGGTACCTGAAACATTGTTTCAGAATGACAATACTGTTCTGTATTATAGACTTCAATATTAAACTAATGGAGAAGATGCCACAAGCAGCTTTTAAGCAGTTATGAGGTGTGTCATAAGCTGAACGGCTGTTTCAGGGGTCATACGTCACCTGATCAGAAAAGGCATGAAGAGCTGAAGCGAGTTTTGTGCCCTCCGAAGCAAAAATCTGAAAGGGGAAGTAAGTGTATCACAAAATGAATCGCCATGGAAGATAAGGCTCTTTGTTGTTTTAATAAATAGTGCGCTATAGAGTAAAAAGGTTGCAGGAAATGTTTGTGATAGTTGCATACATTTATAATTAACAAGTTGGTGGCTCGCAGTGACTTCTGAAATAGCAAGCTGTGTTACAAATTGCCATTCTCCCAGACAAACAAAGGTTAAAGGCTTTCCCTTTACATACAAAAAAAATCTGACATCCAATTCTTTTTTGTACTGTAGCAGCTCACGGGAGTTTTGTGGGTAGGTGGCACCTGCCATATTTGTTTATTGTCCTGACAAGGGTCTCCTGATAAAACCCGGGGAAAATCCAGGAAATAACACAGCAAAGTCCTTCATTTGGCCCCTTGTCTTTTTCATTACTCAAATATTTACATTTTCTTTCCTGTGAAAATACTGCTGCTCAGACTAGGATGGAGTGTCTATTAACACCATCAGGGACCGACCTAAGTGACATAATGAATACTACTAATGCACTGAAGTCCACGGCATTTGCCATAATGCCAGTTTGCCATTCCCTACTCCTAACCGGAATCTGTCAGTTTGATGAATGCTGTCTTAAGCTACTACTAGAAGACTGAAACATTTGCTTTCAGAACGTACATACCAGAGTTAGGATGCTTAAAAACTACAGCTGCCAGTCAATTCACTGTATGCTGTACTTATGAGTAAGGAATCAGAGAGCCGAGTTCTAATTTGTTCTTCACTCAATGCCTAACTCCTATTTTCTTGAAAATATGTTACCTCTGCTTGATGAAATAGATCTTGAGTAGTTTTCAGAAGTCCTTCTCCTCTGTGGGAAATAATGAAAACAGAAAATATGCCACATATAGACTGCAGGTTACTTTGCCTGTTACTTGCACAATTTGTAGCATCTCCCCCTCTCTCTCACTTCCATTCGCATCACTGAGCTGTAAAATACCAGTATTTTAGAAGATACTATGCACAATAACTTACTACAGGAACTGCATTTCACAATATTATATAAAACACCTAAGTGGCTAGAGCACCATTGGGAAATTAGCAATAGTTCAGTTCTCATCAGCTGAGCAAGGGCAGAAATTCATGCTTCTGGCATACTGAGTATTATTGGGTTAGTAGGTAAGGAAAATCTCAACTCTTTTAAACCTCCACCCCAAATTGAATTTTGAATTTCTTCAAATTCAAAAGCTGACATTGCATTAGCAAGTTTCAGAACATCACATTTCAGTACAATAAAGATCAGTAATTCTTACCTACAGTTACATAACTGCTTTAATTCCCTGAATTTTGGAAGTATGAACATACTTCTTAAAATGTTTTCTGAACCCAAGAGATATTTAAATAGCTGTTCTACAACAAAACAGATGTTTAGCACCTTTAAACCCCTCTTATAATTTTATTATTAAACAGCTTAGAAATTTACAAGACTTTATAAAGTGTAAGGGTAGAAATTAAAGCTCCTTTCTGAATGTGTCCCAAGTCTTATACTCTGGAAATGAAATTGTCTTATTTCTTATAAACACTGTCAATGCTCTTCTTCCCATCAAAACACGCTGCATACAGTGTAATTACCTGGTAAATAAGTACATGGAGTAGGCCATACTTGACATGCCTTGTCCATGTTGCACAATCTCATTGTCCTGATCCTCCCATTTCTCTGTC